GGATACTGACTCTGCTGTGCAGATAAATTGTTCACTGTTAATGCTTGTAAGATCTTTGCTTTATGTTTCACCTTATTCCATAAGAAAAATCTTCATGCTAGTTAGATTACTGATGTAGAAAAGATAATTAAGCAACATTTAATTCAAATAAAATGGAAATGGTACGGATTTGGCTGAATAATTGAAACCTGAAAGAAAATCTCATGTTTGTGGTAATGAGACATAGATATATTTTATTGCTCGAGAAGTTACTAGAATAGAATGAAACCTCTTAGGTGTAAAATAAATGGTCCTATCCTGCCTTATCTTTTAAAAATACCTTACTAAAAAGGCTAGTGTTTCCAGGCTTGGGAACAGTATGTGTTATATATACTGAGGCTCATCCTGCTGGGAATATTTTATCTTTGTTTAGATTTTAAATTTTTCCTGTTTAACTGTATCTCTTTTCTTTTACAGTAAATACCTGCATTATTATAAATCTCTGGTGTTATTTTGATGTAACACAAATTCCATAATTAGCTGTACATACAGATGTTAATGAGAATTCTTTTTCTTTAATATTCCATCATCAGCTGTAGATAATTTCATGCACCCACTGTAGATACAGCTGATTATGGAATTTTCACTCTTAACTTTCTCACTCTTTATGTCTTCTTTTAATTTTTTTGGGTACATAGTAGGTGTAGGTATAGATGTTTATGGGTACATGAGATATTTTGAAGCTCTACACTTAATTCAGAATCATAATTCATTCTGAAATACCCTAACTTTTGCCAGTTTATTAAAACATCTAATAAAAAATTATATGCCTTTTTAAAATTATTTCTAATTTGCAGTATTTGAGTTGCACCAGCACTGGGTGGACAGATTGGGGGTGGGGTGCGGAGAGGCAGAGGAAGGAATGAAAGTTCAAACTTTGATCCTCTAAACAAAGATAAAATATTCCCAGGATATTTGATAGTCTAAAACCTTGGGACTTTTATCCACTTAAACTTTATTTTAAAAAATGTTTTATTTTCATTTTTATTTATTTATTTTTATTGAGACACAGTCTCATTCTGTCACCCAGGCTGGAGTGCAGTGGTATGATGTCAGCTCAATGCAACCTCTGCCTCCTGGGTTCAAGCGATTCTCCTGCCTCAACCTCCTGAGTAGCTGGGACTACAGGCATGTGCCACCATGCCCAGCTAATTTTTATATTTTTAGTAGAGATGGGGTTTCACCATGTTGGCCAGGCTGGTCTCGAGCTCCTGACCTCAAGTGATCCACCCACCTCGGCCTCCCGGACTCCCAAAGTGCTGGGATTACAGGCATGAACCACCACGCCCAGCCTAAAAATATTTCTAATCAATTGCTTATGAAAACATTTTTCCCATCTCAGCACCTAATAATACCTCAAAGGAACTGTATTCGTTTCACGACTTAATATTGGACGTATAGGATTGCCCCTACCTGTACCCCCTTGCCTGGCTCAACTACTCAATTTTACCCTCAAATTGGAACATGGGCATTCCTTCTGAACATTTTTAGGACTGTAGTAGAAGAAAATACTTTATTTCTGTAACCAGGACATTCCTTCAGGGACTATTAAATGTATCTCAGTACTGTCCTGTTTTCAGGGTTGGGGGAAAACTGGATGTTATTTATACCAGGAATGACTTCCCTTTTGGGTTTACACATAAATAGTCTTCTATTTATTAAGAAAGAGCATGTCAGGGATTGGAGTGCAGTTGTAAACATAGCCAGTGGGTGAGCTATGTCCATACCTTTCCTGAGGAAGGGTGTGAAGGCTTCTTCCCTGACGTGATTGACAAGTGATGTATCTCACTACCTTGTCCCATCAGTTAACTGCTTATGTAACCACACCCTGAAGTCTCTGCAGGAAATCATGTTTGACAAGTGGGTATTGTGTGCTAATCTTTTCTCTACCCTTAACAACCATTCTGCCTTCTTAGAATACCGAATACAGATTTAGATTACATGTGACAAAATGCCTGGCACATAATAGTAGTTTCCTCTTCCCTCCCTCTCTACCCTTACATTCAGATGACGGCATGGATATACAGTTGACACAGGGGAAGGAAGACAATGTTATCATAAGCAGCAGTATGGGGTAAACAGAAAAGAAAAGGAATTATGCAGTCATCTTTCTGTGCACAGAATGTTCCTGGTTTTTTAAGTTTCTTAAAGTCACACGAAACCCAAACTATCTACCTGATCGTTTTATTACCCAACCTTTTCCTGACCAAAAAACCTTTATGTCATAGCCACATATTTTGCATCATTAGATTTTCATGTTTTTGTGGGGTTAAAGTATTTGGGATGTTCCAGTGAGGAAAATTATCAGCAGTCTTTCTTCCCCTTAACACTTTTCCACCTACCGGAGTGGTCTCCTTATCTATAATCTAATCAAATAAATCTGAAGTGGGATGTCTTTCAATTAATTCTCTGATATATTATGTATATGACTTATTCTTACAAACCATCTCTCAGAGTGGATCTTTAGTGTTTTTCATAAGGTCAGTGATGTACTGTCTTTAAAATAAATGTAACAGCTATCACTGTTAGACACTAATATTTTTCTGTATGATATGAAATTCATGGGTATAGTAATCTACCTAGAGGAATACTCAAATATCTCATGCACCCACTATGTGCAAGATACAGTAGTGGAACTTGGAGGCACAAGAGTCTCTGTCATTCTTTTTTTTGTTTTTTCCTCTTTTTTTAAGATGGGGTTTCACCCTGTTGGTCAGGCTGGTCTTGAACTCCCGACCTCAGGTGATCCGCCCACCTTGGCCTCCAAAGTGCTTGGATTACAGGCATGAGCCACCATGCCCGGCCCTCTGTCATTCTTTTAATAAGGCCTAATAGCTGAGTTGGAGAGACGTGGTGGAATGCAGCAGCAGTTAATTCAGCAACAAAGGTTGAACTAACAGTTAAGATAACAAGCCAGGAACCTCTGGGTTTTTTGTTGTTGTTTGTTTGTTTGAGACAGAGTCTTGCTCTGTTGCCAGACACCAGACTGGAGTGCAGTGGTGCGATACCGGCTCACTGCAACCTTCGCCTCCCAGGTTCGAGCAGTTCTCCTGCCTCAGCCTCCTGAATAGCTGGGACTGCAGGCACATGCCACGATTCCCAGCTAATTTCTGTATTTTAGTAGAGACGGGGTTTCACTGTGTTGGCTGGGCTGGTCTCAATCTCTTGACCTCGTGATCCGCCTGCCTCAGCCTCTTAAAGTGGTGGGATTGCAGGTGTGAGCCACCGCACCCAGCCCAATGTTTGACTTTTAAAGAGTTCACGTGGGACTAGTGCTTGGTTAATGTGACCCAGTTGACTTTTTATCCAGGTGTAAAAATTGCAAATCAGTATTTACTGCATGTGATATGATAACTTGGTCAACGTATAGATGTTTACTGCATAATGCTTTTAAATAAGTGAGAGAAATGGGCCTGTTACTCTAGTGCTTTGGCAGACTGAGGCAGGAGAATCACTTGAGGCCAGGAGTTTGAGGCTGCTGCGAGCAGTGATCGTGCCACTGCACTCCAGCCTGGGCAACAGAGTAAGACCCTGTCACACGTAAAAAAGAGAGATGATCTCATCTTGAATAAAAGTCATCTTCATTTGAAAAGTATGTCTGAAAAAGGATAAAGTGTGACCCCACAAAACTTAGTTTATTCATTAACTGCCTTCTGCAAATATTTGATAAAATGATTTTTTACTCATTTCCTGTTATTCCTTAATAGAGTAGTTTACAAACCAAAATGTGCCAATTCTGTTTAAATTATGCTATAATTACCAGAGAATATATTACAAAGATTTCTCAGCAGTTAGCAGTGGCCTGTTAGTTAATATTTGCTATTGCCAAATTTCTAAATCCCACAAAAAAGTGAAGGTTGCTTTAAGAGTTATTACAGAGCTTGACTTCTAATCTGAGGAGGAGGATGGCATCTAAATTCTTAGGTTTGGAGTGACAGTCCTGTATAATTGGATGACAAGCCCAAAAGAATAATTTGTCATCATCGGTCAGTTAACACTTTCTTTTCTTTCCTGATTTTTAGCCTGAGCCTCCAGCAACAAACAAATGGCAGCTGGACAACTGGCTGACCAAAGTCAGCCAACCCGCCGCGCCACCAGAGGGCCCCGGGAACACAGAGCCCCCTCAGCGGCACCCAGAGAGTAAGGGCAGCAGTGAGGGTGCTGCAAGTCAGGAGCGTTCTGAATCCAAAGATCCTCCCCCGAAAAGCTCCAGCAAAGCCCCCCGGGCCCCTTCCGAAGTCCCCCACCCTGGAAAGAGGAGCTGTCAGAAATCCCCGGCACAGCAAGAGCCCCCGCAGAGGCAAACCGTTGGAACCAAACAACCCAAAAAACCTGTCAAGGCCTCTGCCCGGGCGGATTCGCGGGCCAGCCTGCAGGTGGAAAGGGAGCCAGGACTTCTTCCCTATGGCTCCAGAGACCAGACTTCCAAAGACAAGCCCAAGGTGAAGACGAAAGGACGGCCACGGGCCGCAGCAACCAGAGAGCCCAAGCCAGCAGTGCCCCCGTCCAGTGAGAAGAAGAAGCACAAGAGCTCCCTCCCCGCCCCCTCTAAGGCGCCCTCAGGCCCAGAACTCACGAAGGACAATGTGGAGGACAGGAGCCCTGAGCATTTTGCTCTTGTTCCCCTGACTCAGAGCCAGGGCCCGTCTCACAGTGGTGGAGGCAGCAGGACTAATGGCTGCCGCCAAGCCGTGGTAGTCCAGGAGGACAGCCGCAAAGACAGACTCCCATTGCCTTTGAGAGACACCAAGCTGCTCTCACCGCTCAGGGACACTCCTCTCCCCCAAAGCTTGATGGTGAAGATCACCCTAGACCTGCTCTCTCGGATACCCCAACCTCCTGGGAAGGGGAGCCGCCAGAGGAAAGCGGAAGATAAACAGCCACCCACCGGGAAGAAGCATAGTTCTGAGAAGAGGAGCTCAGATAGCTCAAGCAAGTTGGCCAAAAAGAGAAAGGTGAGTATGGGGAGACGGCCCTGACCCAGTGTGGGCCATCCCTGCTGTTGGCTTGGTGGTTGATCGGCCCTTGATTTAAGCCCAGTTGAGTTGTCTCACAGGTCTTTGCTTTGATTCGTTGTAGCCTTTGCGCCTTCTACCAGTGTGACCTGTCTGGACTTTGCTTCTCATTCTGCAGATGGGCATTAGCATGTGTTGTGTCCCTTTATTGGTCTTTCTAATTTGAAAAAAGATGAGGCAGTCATTAAAAATGATAGGTGCTATTGCCGGGCACGGTGGCTCACGCCTGTAATCCCAGTACTTTGGGAGGCCGAGGCGGTTGGATAACGAGGTCAAGAGATTGAGACCATCCTGGTCAACATGGTGAAACCCTGTCTCTACTAAAAATACAAAAAAAATCAGCTGGGCATGGTGGTGCATGCCTGTAATCCCAGCTACTCAGGAGGCTGAGGCAGGAGAATTGCC